TCAATGGATTTGTCAGTTCGGATCAGTAGAATAATATACCACTCACGCATTGTTTGTTCTTTGCTCCTACCTGGTGCATGCAGATCGGTTCGCCCAAGGAGATGGAGAGATTATTGTAGGAGTACTACTAGTAGTATATAATGTAACTAGCAGAGTGTGTTCAAAAGGCTGTCGCCGCCTAAAAAGTCCCTCGAGATTGCTTTAAGAAGGCTTTGGCGCGCTAAGCACGAGAGACGTATCAAGGGCATCTTTTGAGATGGGTTTCAGCAGCATGCGGTTGCAGTGTCCTCTTTGTACCCTAGCATGCAGGAGCTGGTACCGGAGTTTAACATTGCATGCGTCGATGTCTCATGCAACACACACCAAGCTGTTGCGCAATGCAACATACAGTAGGGGCCAGCCAAAATGATGTCCTCGAGGATGAGCCATGACCACGATGCCATGTTTGGTTGAGCTGTGGCTTTTAAAAAAGCTGCTAGCTGTGCGAGAAGCAGAAGACCGTTTGGTGGAATGGTTGTGGCTTTTGGAAAACACCTACAACAGACACTATCGGATTCAGCTTCTTTGCCGAATGCCTCAGGCACTCGGCAAAGGCCGATATACACTCGGCAAAGCCTTTGCCGAGTGTTACACTTGACAAAGGGCGCTCGGTAAACAGTTTATCGGTAAAGACCTCTTTGCCGAGTGTACTTTATCGGGCACTCGGCAAAGCCTTTGCCGAGTGCTAATCTGACACTCGGCAAAGAAAAGTCGCCGTGACGGCGAGTGCCACCGTGACGACAGCTTTGCCGAGTGTCAAGGTCAAGCACTCGGCAAAGGTCGCCACTTTGCCGAGCGCCGCTGACTTAGACACTCGGCAAAGGTGGCCACTGTGCCGAGTGCCACCGGCAAGACACTCGGCAAAGATAGTCTATTTGCCGAGTGTCCTGTCAAGACACTCGGCAAACAGGCGTCCTTTGCCGAGTGCCTGGCCCGTGGCACTCGGCAAATCTGTGATGTTTGCAGAGTGCAATGGCCTTTGCACTCGGCAAAACATGTTCCCAGGTAGTCACTTTGTCGAGTGTCATGGCTATTGCACTCGGCAAAGTGACTGAAAACAACCTTTTTATTTGTTTTTTACATCCCATCCAACACAAACAGAAGATATATATAACAAACACCACCAACATCACATATATATCATCAACAGCACATATATATCACCAACACCACATATATATCACAAACGTCACATATATATCACAAACGTCACATGTCTCACAATATATCACAAATAAGTTCACAAGTAATCCAAGTGCTCCATCATCTACAACCACAATTGCACATAGAAGTACCATTAACAACCACAAGTATCATCACCAAGGTGGCCAATGAGACTGATTTGGTGAAGGATTCGCTGAAGCATGAGGATCGTTCGATGCCGCCGATTGATTCTGCACAAAGAAAAAGAGATTGCATGTGTGAGACAAGATAAATATATACCATACATGAATAAAACTTTCATACTCCACTAGGTTTGACCGTAAGCATGAACATACAAACTAAAACATTTATACTCACAGGAGTAGAATAGTGAGGAGGTGGAGGTGGAGCGAATAGCGAAGGTGGTGGAACTACACCCATAGCGGCGCCAAGACTTTGCATGTACTGAAGAATCTCCGCCATCCTCCGCTGCTCGGCCTCCTGCTCGGCCTCCACCCTCTCCATCTTCGCCTGCATCTGCTCCCGTATCCTCCTCTCTTGTTCCAGATAGGCCTACAATATATTCACCCCAATGTTACAATAATGCAAAGGAAAGGTATGAAAAAATCAATGAACGACGAATAAATCAGGAATAACCTCGAGTGCCTCCACCCGGTGGTGTGAAGTGTCCTACCGAGGTCGTATGGCCGGGCTCATGCTCGTGCTGCTTGCTCTAATCTGGGAGAGACTGGGAGTAGCGGCCGAGTCGATTACGCCGTTGCCAATCCAGTACCGCCCATGCTTCTTGCCTCCTCCCACCCTCATGACGACTTCTCCATCAAGGTTCTCGGTGCTCAGATCGTACTCTGGCCCATGGACCTCCCTTGCCATCGATGTGTACTCATTGAGGCGGTTGTGGACGGTCGCATTGCTGTACGCCTCGGGCCCGTCCTCCGGGTTGTAGTCGACGTCGGACGTCGCCTTGCCCTTGTGGGCCATAGCAAATGCCTTGAAGATGGAGCAAGGCTGGCCACCATGTGACGCCGACTGCGAGAAAAATAGCAAGATGATTAGAAATCATGCAGAATTGAGCGTTAGAATAAATAAATGAATTCACGTACCTATGTTTCTGCGTATCCGCTGAGGCTGCGGCTGCCTTGATGGTGTGCTACACCTGGCATCATCAAACGCCGCTCCCGGCATAAGTTGTGCGTCTCCTCCCACTCGCGTGAGCACCACTTGTCCACCATTTGTACCCAGCACTGGGGATGCGCGGCGCACCAATAAGGAATCATCTACTCACGGTCCTTTAGCAGCCACGCCAAATGCCCATTCCAATAAAGCATTGGTCTTGTCGATCCATTCATTGGTGACCTGACCCTGACTTGCGCGGCCCGTGTACATCCACTCACGGTCCTCCATCCTCTAACATATATAGCGGCGAGTAATATAAACATCAATTGCATCTACATGACGTTCCTACTATTTAATAGGTGAGGATAGGTCCTAATCCCACGTGAGGATCCGTAGATGAGGTTAGTTTCCATGCTCTACTCCTATCCGAGACAGAATTTCGGTAGCACCTCCCCGTTGTTCTCCAAATACATGTTCTGCCAGGGAGTGTGTATCCGGAGAACAACAGGGAGATGATGCCGAAACTCTGTCTCGGATCGGAGCAGACCATGGAAACTAACCCCACCTACGCATCCACGGGCTGTCCAAAAAACGTGGTCAATTCGAAACATATACGGTTTTAGATATGGAAATATATGTATATTTCCAACCGTATCTCTTTCGAACGGGAGACGCCTAACTGGGTTACGTGATCTACGACCATGATACGGAAAGAGGGGTTATACCTAGGGTGGCGGTGGAGTCATGCTAGCGGGGCCATGGTGGGTCGGTGCAGTGGCGAGGCGACGCGGTGCAGGCAGACCCGCAGCAGCGAGGAAGGCGATCGGGGTCGCCGAGGTACTCCGGCTCCGCTCCGACGGGCTCTTCTCTGCAAAAAAACATAAAACTGTCAATACAAAATTTCGGCAGCACCTCCCCTGCACGGTGAGGTTTCCAAAACCTACAAGAAAACCAACGGCACGATGGCCGACATGCACATATATATGAATGGCACGATGGCCGACTTGCACAAGATTATATCCAACCACATATATATCACAATGTCACAACCACTCCTACGACTACCACCACTGCTACTCTATCACTACTACTACCGCAACTACTAGTAATACTACGACGACGACGACGGTAGGGCATCCCTAGTGGGCGTCGTAGGGCGGCGGTGGTGAAGGGGCCAGGGCGCCGCTGGACAAGGCGACGGCTGGGGAAGCGCCGGGGACGTGGCAACGGCGGCCGGGGCTCCTCCTCCTCCTCCTCCTTCTTCCTCCTTCCTCCTTCCTCCTCCTCCTCTTCCTCCTTCCTCCTTCTTCCTCCTCCTCCTCTCTTTCTCCTCCTCCTCCTCCTGGCCTGGGCGCCAAGGCATGGGCGTGGCGGCATGGCGTGGTCACTATCTATCTGCGTGCGTGTGTGTGTGCGTGTGTGTGGGTGGGTGGGCGGCGGGTTAAATCCCCTTCACAGCAAGTTTGTCACACACGATGCTTACCACCTCGTCGGCCTCTTCACGAAATCATGAAACTTCTTCGGAGATTCTTCGGTTTGTAAGTATCGTACGTGACAACTTATATGAAACCTTCTCAAATTTTTATCACAGCCTCCACATATGATATCATGACATCTTGACAAGTTTCATGATTTTCGGACTTCGTTTGCTTTTTATAGAATTTAAAAATAACTCGACCGCAAGTTCGTGATCATGTTTCGTGAATAAGATGTTCGAAATTGATGGTCTGTTCCTGGATACGGCCTCACATTATACTAAATAACATGAATATCATTTTTCCATTTATTTTTTTTATTATTCGAATGACTAGCGGTTATAATTTAAATTATTCAAGAAAATTCAATTAAATGAAATAAATTAAAGAAATATAGAAAAAGTCCGAGAAATGTGCCACATTGGAACATGGAGTACCATGTATTGTATGAGGACTGCAGAAAAAATTTGGAGGTCAAAAGTGAAAAAAATATGGTTTGCCAAGTGTCAAAAAATAACACTCGACAAATCACCGCTTTGCCAAGTGTCAGGAGAAGACACTCTGCAAAAGGTTAACGGCGGCTGCCGGCCGTTAACGGCGGCGGCCCTTTGCCGAGTGTTTTGGTTTGCCGAGTGCCCGACACTCGGCAAACCTGGTCTTTGCCGAGTGCTTGGCACTCGGCAAACCACCTCTTTGCCGAGTGCCAGTTGTTTGCCGAGTGCTTTTCTCTGGCACTCGGCCAATAGCCTCTTTGCCAAGCGCCCGATAAAAAACACTCGATAAAGTCTAGAACATTCAGCAAAGAAGCCGTCTCCGGTAGTGTAAATATTTACACTCCATGTCTAGTTCATGATCAGTTACAAGATCAGTGACTCCAACCGTGCAAACGCATAGAGCTGGCAGCACTGTAAATACCACGGGTACAAATTTGCTCAAAATTTATTGTTTCAAAATTCTAACGTGTGCCCGGTATTTAACCGGATATATTATAGCTGATGAATACAACAAATGAATTGCTCTCCTCCGTAAGCCGTGCAAGGGTTGAGTGCCTTCTGCTGCTATTCCATCGTATATATATATATATATATATATATATATATATATATATATATATATATATATATATATATATATATATATATATATATATATATTATATATATAAACACACTTGCCTTCTACTATGGCCTCATATTGTACAACGTACATTCATATGAACACTGAAGATGATACATCCAAGCAAAGAATGGCTGCAAGATTGCTGCGGAATCCATGAACTGAATGGCTCTGCAGCATGACTCAATAGCACATGGTGGCTTCTCATACCTAACCTAAGATCATGACGTGTCAGCGGAATGAGAATGCAATTTCCTCTAGCGTCCTTCCCTTGGTCTCCGGCACCCACAAGCACACGAAAATGAGGGCCACGGTAGACACAGCGGCATAGATAGCAAAGGTTCCTGATATAAAAAAAAAGACAAGGTAAGATCCAATGTCACAAGGGAAAGGACATTCTTGAAGGGAGGGAAGAAAAAGAAAGAGACCTCCATTGCTCCAGTTCAACATTAGGCTTGCAGTCATTGTAATGGCCCATGCTGTCAGCCAGTTCGCAAGGGTCGCAACACTTCCAGAATCCAGCAAGGCTCTTGATGTTAACAGGAAGAATCTGAAAGGAAAACAACGTAAATTCATAAATCTCCCCACAAGTTTGCAGATGCAGTATCTCTAGGCATTTCATTACGCATGCACATTGGGCAGCTAGATAAGCTGCTTGCTGTCATTCGTGTTTTAATTAATAACTACTAAATGAGGTAATTTCAGTATTTTGAGGTAGGCATAGCTGTCCTCTGGCTAGGGAAAATAATGCAGTTTCCCATGCAATTTGAAGGAGCAACTATAGTTTATAAATAACAAGAGTTTGTACCATTTTAAAGAAGCTATAGCTATGTTGAGAGGTTGTGGATTTGGGGTTGCAGTATCTCAGAGTGCATGAAATTCAGAGCTGGGGACTCAGAGCAAAAGTGCTAAGTGGCACTCATAATAATTACATAAAGATAAGATAGCAAAGAAACATTAGTGAATTAAAAGCTCTGTATAATATAAAAAGCAAGAGCAAACTATACCTCAGACATAATGACCCAGGGAATTGCTCCCAAGCCAAGAGAAAATGCAATCACAATTCACAAATGCCTGGAGAGCAAAAGACAAGGACTCAGACAAGCTTCTCTCAACAAGGGGGACAAATAATATGTAATAGTACTGCGACTAACCACAAGTCCAGCCAGTGAAAGCATACTCATTGCAGAGTATAAGTGAGAACCAGCAGTTATGTTGTCCTGTTCCAGAATTGAAGCAAGAATGTTTCAGAAAGGAATGACAATGTCGACAGACTTTAAGCAATACAATTATTTCGGTAGAGTGCGCTGTAAACAATAGCATGCTACTATTAACCTTTTAAGTGACATTACCTTCACAAAAAATGACACAGAAACAATGACAAGAGTAATGACCATTCCTGTGGTAGAAATCTGAAAAGACAGCTCAATTAACATAACTGGATAACCATGTCCAATAAACAATTGTGATGGAAAGTTGGAAACTAACAATGAGAAGAAGCCTTCGACCAGCTTTGTCAGTCAACCAGGTTGTCACTCCAGTAGCAATCACCTGAAATGATAAGATCCCATGAAGTATGCAGTGCCAAGCCCACATCTGCTCAAAGTCCGAGAAACAAGGGACATAACAACTTTAAAACAAATATACCTGAACAGCCCCCAAACCAAAGGTTGCTAGATTACTGTTTGTAATACCTGTTCAGGAAGAGAATTCAGTAAGATATCAGATTTGGAAGTCTAGGTTCTAGAACTCTTCTTCCCCTTTTTTACATATTAAATGAAGCATTGTGGTATCCATACAAAGCATAAATCGAACCAAAACAAGGTAACTTTCATTTCCTGGACAAGTTCCAAAATATGCAAGCCAGAAAGCATATCTCAATTGCATTAGAATCTAGCAGCAGAGATTGATCATGTTTTGGAGAATGTACCAGCAGCTTTGAAGATGCTCCCAGCATAAAATAGAATGCCATTGACACCACTTAGCTGCTGCAGGACAAGGAGACCAATTCCTATCTAAAAACAAGCCAATTAGCTAAACTGCAAAAGATTAAACATTAATATGTAAACAGAGAGTAACAAATAGCAAGGCACCAACCGCAAGGGGAACACTGTATCTCTTCTGCTTGATATCAGCAAACCTTATGGTTGTCCTCCTCCTTGATGATGCTACTGATCTCTGTGTAAAAAAGGAAGATAACTATGTAATTCTCATCTCCTATGGTACATTATACTGCAAAAAATAAGAGAAATTCTACACCAGGTTTTACTACTAGAGAGCAACGCATTGACAGCTGCACCAGTGTACCATTGAGAACAAGATTAACGAAATATATATGTATCTTTGCGCCTGGACCTTGTGGTGTCATCGTAATCGATGTGTTTTTGATGGGGCATCTCCAATGCCAGCGGCTCGAAGTATTTCTTATCTCATGTCCCTTGTACTAGGTGTAGTTGAGTTTAGGTCGTGGTCGAGTTTTATTTTGTATAAAGGCGTGTTCGTCTTCCTAAAACTAAGATGTTGGACTGACTGTGTTGTGTGTGTATGTTTGTAAGTACACAGCCCTCCTACGTGTCTGAGGAAAAAAATGTATATCTCTATCTCTATTATATCTAAACTGGAGTTCCACTATTGATTACCTTTATTTCATTTACTTCTGCTGTTATGTCCGTCTGAAATCCTCGCAGAACTTGCAGTGAATATTCAAAATCCTCCATCTTCCCCATTTTTGCCTGAAACAAACAATCTGCTGTATTCAGGTCCTGCCATTAATGCTATGAAAAGATAATACCATGGAATACTTACCAGCCACCTTGGGGATTCAGGGACAAAGAACAGTCCAGGAATCAGGATTGAACAAGGTAAAACGCCTAAAACATGTAGAAGTAACAGAAAAGTAGTTAGGAAGATGATTTGTACAAATAAAACAACGAAGACAGTCAACTGATGGGTGCTATGTAGCATATTGTTGTTTCATATACTAAACAAATGGACTAAAGTTTTACATCATACCTAGAACAGCAAGAATTCTCCAGGGAACAAACATGCCAAACAGGTAGGCAAGCAATATACCAATTGTGACGGAGAGATGTAAAAGAAATTATGGAATGGTTCGAAGTTGACAACAACATTGACAGATCAGAAGAAAGGCTACACATGAATAACAATAATAAAATGTTGTCATTCACTATAAAAAAAAACTACCTGATTGACAGAACCAAGAGCTCCCCTCTGATCCTGAGGAGCGATTTCTGCAATATAAACCGGTACCTGGAACCATGAAATAGAAGTTCCAATCATAAAGGTAACATTGGGCATAAAATATCAAAATATAAGTAACCAAGTCGCTAACAAGTTCTTAAAAACAGCATTGTTTAACCAGGAATGCCCTGTTGCAAAAACCTGCACCAGCAAGTGGTACGCTGGAGTTGAAAGGCTACCTAGGTATGCTATTGCCATGCAAAGAAATTTACCCATTATCATTCTGGTTTTATAGAAAATTAAAACTTGACTGTACAATATGCAACAAATTGTATATGAAGTCAATTCCACAACAATATTCGACATAGGATTTCAGTCACTTCTAAGTGCTAATAGTCTCATTTGAAAATGAACTAAGCATACCATATTATTCCGAACAAGGGCCACTGGGTCAGTGACCTTGATTTATGAGTTTTCTTGCTGCTTTGTTTTCCATTTTCCACTAGAACTTACTGCTTTGTTTTGAATGTGTCCGGGCTTGGGATTGTTTGCTTGTATGGGCTTGTTAAGACGTGAATTATGAAAAGCAGAATTTTCTATTTTAAAAAATACCAAAGAAGAAGGGAGGGCCTGGTGCAAGCGGTAGAGTCTTACCGTCTGTGACCGGAAGGTCCCGGGTTCGAGTCGCGGTCTCCTCGCATTGCACAGGCGAGGGTAAGGCTTGCCACTAACACCCTTCCCCAGACCCCGCACAGAGCGGGAGCTCTCTGCACTGGCTACGTCCTTTTTTTAAAAAATACCAAAGAACTGTAATCTTTAATAGCTGTTAGAAGATGATAAACAGGAAAACGCCACTATTTCTGTATAGAGTAATTTGTTTTTTACTAAAAGGGAGGAGAAAAGGGCTGCGTACTGTATAAGATATTACACCGACTCCAAATCCTTCTAGCAGCCGACCCATTAATAAGAAAGAGGAATCCTGAATATACACCAAATCAGAAGTAAATAAACACAAAGGTTATTATCATATTGATGAACAAAGAAAATCAGCAGCAGGGGCATGGAAAAATGACGGTACCTAAAAACTTACTTTTGCGAATGATATCGCAAGCCACCCAATTATGTTTGGAATTGCAGCAATCATGAGAGACTACAAGACCAACCAAAGAATTCAATCAGTGCATCAGTCTGAAAAATCATGACAAGCAGATCTTTCAAGGTTCCCATTAACAAAGCTAAGCTGCCACTTTTTACTGATACTGTGCACGCTTAAACTAGCTGCCACTTTTTAACATCCTACAGTACTTAATACTGATACTGCGCACACTTAACAATGATTCAGTCTGTCCTATTGCATTGTGTTCCATGATCTGGTCTAGCAGAGACAAAATACTTGCGGCCGATATACTCTGCAAGTTGCCCACTGGAGATGGCGCCTACCATCGCGCCTACGTTGGATAATGAACCAAAGAGCGAGAACTGCATAGAAAAAGACAAGGCCAAGCAGCATCAAGCAAGTGTAAGCATTACAAGGGAGGGGAGGGATGCATAGACGAGAAAACAACGTCACCTCGGAGAGGGAGAGGCCGAGGTCAGCAATGATGGCGTCCTGCGTGGGAGAGGAGTACCCCCAGGTGAAACCGAACTGGATGGGACCTAGAGCTACAATGAGCGTGCAGAGCGTCGCCGAGATAGCTACGTCTCGGAGGGAGAAGGCAGAGGAGCCTAGGCGCTCCATGAGGCTGGACTGCCGCGAGCCCATCATGCCGCCCGCCGGCGGCATGCGGTACCAGCTCCCGGTGTTCAGAAGCGGCTTCCGCAGGTCGGACGCGGAGGACGTCCTGCCCGCATCCTCCCCGCCACTCTCCTGGTCCCGAAAGCTCATGCCTGAGCCTTAGTTTCTTCTCGGCCGCACGGCAACGAATGAAGAATTGCTGCAAGTAGCGTCCGTCGATCTCGAGCGCTGGCGGAGAAGAAGGAGAGTCCGATCAGCGCACGAAATTGGATCTGGTTGACTGATTGGTCGAGAGAAGGCAATCCACCCACGCAATCGAGCTGGGATTACTCACCGACTTGATTGAGGAAGGGAAAAAAGGCCGCCCCGGTGGTGGATCTCCGGCGAGAAGGGGAGAGGAGGATCCGTGGAGCGGACCGGCGGCCTAGTGTTACGCTGCGCTGCGTCGCGCGTTTCGCCCGCCGCCGCTTCCGGGGTTGGCCCTGTGTGACCGGAGTTTGATTGCAGTCTGCAGAGAGGAGAGATTGGAGGGACCACGGACGGACGGACAGGGAAGGTAGTCTCGGTTTCTTCCGTTTTTCCTTTCGGCTGTGTCCTCCTATCTGGGTGTACTGGAGGATTGGGGGACGAGGCCACCTGGGCATGCTCTGCATGTTCTCTGGCCTCTCTGTTTTTGGTAATTTTATAGGGCATCTTCTTTTCAACGGCCATGCATTTTTTTTACTTGGAGAGAAAGAATGTGGGAAGCAGTGAGAATGTTTATTAAGTGACCAGATCAAATATTTTTTAGTACCATGCATTTTCTTTGAGGACCCGCTATAAAATTTAGACAAAATTTCTTACGTGCCATTGGCCCTATTCGCTTTTCTCTGTTTTTGGTAATTATATAGGGCCATCTTTTTTCGACCATGCATTTTTTTTTTAGAAAGAAAGTGAGAAATTTTTCTCTCACATCAAATTATTTTTGAGAACAATGCATTTTCTTCTATTTTTCAACAAAATTTAACGGGCCATTGGCATTATTAAACCTAAATCCCCTCTTGTCGCCTAGAAAACATTTATATGACATTGGTTTTCAACGTTAGTCCCTTTTATGCCAAGTTTAATATTACTAAGTCATCATCTATGGTTAACAAATATTCCAGACGCTAGCATTGCCCTTACCAGCCATCCTCAAATCACAGAGGTGTTTAACAGTGAGGAATGAGTTGCTTGGCAAGGAAGAAGATGGAGGCGACGGATCTTTGATCATGGAACGGGTGGTGTGGGCTTTTGAGCGTGTGGGTGATGTGGGCTGCATGGTTGCCGACTGCTACAGTTGAGCAGCGACTGTGACAGCGGTTTTAAAGGGTAAGGCGTGCCAGTCCTCGAATTTTTTATTTTTTGGCCCGTTTTTCGAAAGTTATTCACAAATATGTTTCTGGACTAATGCTTTTAAAATCTGGACTCTTAGCTTGGTGTCATCGTTGGTGGCGCCGAGGTTACACGTCTCGGCGCCAGAGGGTTTGGCGCCTAGATTTGGGCCACGTTGACGGCGTGGACGCTGCCTTGGCAGCCAGCTTGGCGCCAAAGATCCTGGCGCCGAAGTGGTGTTTTAACCCGGCGCCTAATCTTGCTGCCCTAGCCTTCTTCCTCTTCTTTCTCCTCCCTTTTGGGTTTTTTCTCTCACCACTTCGTCCTACCTCACGAATCGGCATATTGGACCTTGGAAACTTTGATTTGATCCGTAAATCTTCGAGAGCAAGCTATCCTCGCTCCCTCCTAGTTTTTTTTCACATCGATTCGGTATATATTAATCGGATTTTTCAACTGAGAATCGTCATTACTTAGGGTTTCATTGAATTTTAATATTTATATTATACAACTGTAAGATGCCAAGACGTGGAAAAGCTAGCAAACCAAGATAACCTCAGCGCACGTTGTTATGTTATGGGTTCATTGTTGTGGATCAAATGGGAAACCCTAGGTGTAGGGTTTAATGTTAATTGCTTTCGGTTCTTAGAACAAAAATGGCTAAATTATAGTTATGGCCGGATGACCGAAAATGCCTTTGACCCATTGCCTCTGCCTAGTGGTGTTCCAGTGCCCATGTGCTTTTACGGCGATCCTTGCAAGGTAGCCAAGTCCGATGAAGAGGGCACGTATAGGCAGAGGTATTGGATGTGTTCCAATTTTACGTTTGAGCATACACTTCGTCAGCGCCGTATTAACAAGATGGTGAGGAATTGATGTTGTGTAATAATTATTTTGTGTCATATGACATCTTGCATGGTTTTTTTGTTTTATAACAATTACATTTGTTACAGACCCCTCCACCGCTCTGTGATTTTGAACAGTGAATCAACACTGAGATCGAGCCTAAAGACAAAGAATGGATGCAAAAACTGTTGCGGTGGGAGGCAGAGGACAAGAAGATGATGGAGAAGAGACACGGAGAGGAGGCTGTAGAAAAGGAGCACAAGGAAGAGGAGGAAATGAGGCGTGTTGCTGCGTACAGGGAGGCGAGGGAGAAGAAGCTTGAGCGTGCACGTCGAGCGAAAGCAGCGATGGAGGAGAATCTCGATGTCCTGAGAAAGGAAAAGTGGCCTCGTTGCACTCAGTAATCTCCATTACTTTCTAGTTATATGGTTTATTCATGAACAATGTTGTTTACTGTTGGACTTTTCATTGTGTTGTTATGTAATGTACTTTAAGTATGGACATGTTTAGGTCATGTACTACGTTATTTAGTTTGTTGGCATGTACTTCTAGTATTATTGTGTTGTTTAATGTATCATAGTATTGGACTTTTTATTATGTAGTTGTTTTCATTATTTGTGGTCATTATATTCAGTTTAATATTACGGACGTAGTGAAATGTGATCACGTGCTGCAAACAAAACCTAATGAAGTAGAGTATTATATAATTCAATACACACAACACATTAAATAGCATGTGAGAACATATACCGAACTAGTGTACAGAGGTTTTAAACTAAACCTAACATGCCTTAGATAATTGAAGCGAACAACAAACACATGAAATGGCATGTGAGAACATATACCAAACAAGAGTACATAGTTCCTTCGACTAAACCTAACATGCCTTAGATAATTAAACCAAACAACAAATATATGGATGTGCCATGTGAATAAGATAGAGTCGTTCTAGTAGTGTGGCCACATAGCAAATTATGTTGCACCTTCTCCACAGTAGCCTCCCATTGTTGGTGGTGGTGGTGGCGGGGTGACGACGGAGGCCCCTTATTCTTGTGATTAGGGCAGGTGCAATATAGATCATTGTAGAGTGCCTCCTGTGAACTTGCACCATTGTTGTTATCGTCGTCTTCATCTTCCTTGTACCCGCTGCTAACTTTCCTTTGTAGATCGAAAATTTGTTCCTATAGATCGTAGATGTACTGCTGATGCGGATAAATTGGTTGATGATCGACCCACCTAGTGAACCCATAGTTTTCTTCGGACTCGGAAGACTACAATAAGTATGTCCTATGAGTTGTAAGGGTATTCGAGAAATATATTTAACAAACGAAATGTAATAGCAATTACCCATGCTCGCGGGCATTTAAAGAAGCGATGACCTCCGTCGATCCCCTCGGTGAACATCTGTACTAAGCAGTCCTCACCATGCATGCATTTTGGCCAATCTTCCTTCCTGTTATCGTATCCTCTGAGAGGGCACTCTTTAGTAAAATCACTATTGCTCTTAGGGGGGAACTGATACACTGGTTCCTTAAAGAAATCAGGCCCAAGAGACCCCTCCCACACAATGGGAGTTCCCTTCGTCCTCCTTTCCTCTCCCACTCCCGAAACCCTTTCCTCTAGATGACCCTTCAGACATTCATACTCCAACAAAACCGAATACTAGTTTGGTTTTCCTTTTGGTTAGCAATGCATCCTAGAACACATATATATAGGCAGAGGCAGGTTTGCTAGCCGTTGTATTATGTTGTAAATGCTCTTAGAAAGTCTACTCAGAATCACTGAAAAGCCTACATCGTAGGACACTGGAGGGCCTAGATTCCATGACTGAACAGCCTATTCGATTTCAAACTTTAATCACTATTTTGAAGGACACTGAAAAGTTTATTCGACGGTGACATGACAAATCACTGTAAATGCTACATTATTTTACTAACTGCAGTTGGAGACGATGACATAAACGTACCTGCCCGCTAGTCTACTCCGCTGCTGCTCAATGGCTTAGTGCTCGACCACTCGCATGCAAGATTGGCTCACACGCATGCAATGTACGTAATCACGTTCAGTTCTTTTGCATAAAATGGAAGGAAAGAAAAGAAAATCTCAACCAATGTGGTACATAATCATGTTCGGTTCTTTTGCATTAAAGAAAAGATAATCTCAACCAATGCGGTAGGCCGAGAGGCATACATGCATACTCATAACAAAAAACAAATTGATTACTTAATGAACTGGAAAAACTGATGGCCCTGATTAATACGTAATTTATGCAGAAAATTTTGGCAAAAATTCCTCTATTTTTTTGATGCAATCCATACACAAATATGAGATGAATATTTAACATCAATACAACATGTTCAAACATACAAATATATGCCACATTCATCTGAAACCATATACATGAGCATATTAATAGTCCACACAGTCCATAATTATAGTCCATAGTAGTTCATAGTCGATAATAATAGTCCATACAGTCCACAATAGTTCATAATGAAAGTCCACAGAGTTCATAATAGTACATAATAATATCTAACACAAATTCTCACTGCCTCTTAGTCTTATCCTTACCCTTATGACCAAGAGCGTCGGTGCCTGGAGTGTAAGGGTTAGGTGGACGGCGTCGCCTAGTACCTGAAGGCTGTGTAGGCTGAGCTAAGGGAGCGTCCTAGAGCTAAGACGGGCCAAGCTCCTCATGCCTCTGATCCACCTCATTGTCGTCCTTGTCCTCGTCCTCGTTCTCGTACGCAATGCCTATGGACCCTGTAGGTGCTTGGCTAGATGAACCTAAGCCTCCTCTGCCTGTAGAAGGAATGTGCACGTCTTACGTCATGGCTGTCCTACAACCACAATGAGCAGCCGCACGACGTAGCCGACGTGACAGTCTCTGTTATACAAAATTATGTTAACTGAAAGAATTTAACGTATTAATAATATATTTAAAATAATAT